CATCTTAGAGGTTGCCTTCCCCCCAGATTTTACAAGTGATCATTGTATATTGAGACCTTAAGACCCCTTGAGTTTTTTGGATAAAAGGAAGAGCAATAACCAGCCAAGGAACTTTTCTGATGGAAAAAAGAAAAACAGGTGTAAGTAACCTGAATCACAAATGTTTTTACTGAACATCTATAAACTTTGAGTTTTGATGTTGTCTTAAAATGGTAAGATGAGTTATTTCACCCTCATTAAACTTTCAATAGAACTGATCTCATTTCTGAGAATTGTTTTTAAACCTTTTCAAAGCAAAGCGTTTCTAAGTGAGAAAAAAGCTGTTGTTTGTGGCGTAGCAGAGAAGTTTACAAGTATGCCTCAATATAAGTAGTAGGTAAGTTCCTTTAAGGATTGATTGTATGCTCTGAGTGGAATGATTTCAGGTGAACTATGGGACTCGTTCTCTTAAAGAAACTTGATGGAAATCTTTTTTATTCTCCTTTTAACTCTATAGAGGTTTGTGTGAACAGTGTAGAAAGGTTACGTGGTGATGGAGTGAAAAAAGCATTTTTGAAGACAGATTTGTGTCCAGGCTTCACAACCAATTAGAAATGTGGCCTCAGGCAATCCTGTTAGCTCCCCTAAGCCCAAGTTTTCTGTCTATAATATAGGTAAATATATATGAAAGAAAGTGCTTTGACATGAAGAATGATAGACTTATGAAACTTTATTAAAATCTTCATTTCAGAAAGGGTACAATTATATTAAGGTCAAATGTCTCACTAGTTCCCCATTTTCTGTCAGGATTCTAACCTAGAACATGCTGTTAGATAATTCTTAAGGTCTGTGTAATCATTTTACCCAGGAAAGACCACACAGTACCCTTGCTTATTTACATCTGAGATATGGCAACATATTAGGGAAGCCAAAGTAGTTCCTCAGAAATAGTAAGGTGACATTTTTACTGAAATTATTGCAGTGTTACTGCAATTAGTAAGATTTTCTGTTATGTAGACTGACTTACTGGAATGTACATTGAGAAATACTTGGAATCAAGGAAGTGTATTAGGTGCCTATATACATGTTATCCACCAGGAAGGAATAAAACCATGTCTCTCTGACTTAAAGATTAGGAGGAAGAATTCTTATGGGTTACTTTATAGATGTTTTTTCTTACTTTAAGTTATTTCAGGGTTAATCCTCAACAATCTTAGATGAATGAAATGACTTGGCAGGGTGGCTAAATTGTTTAATCTTCAAGTTTTGCTCATAAAATTCACTCATGAATTTGTCCTCTCGGAATCTGGACAGCTTCCCTAACCAATGGCATAGAGAGAGAAATGGGGGTTACAGATTACTTGAACCAAAACATGATTTACTATCAGCTTCTTCCCTTTCTTCTTCTGTAATGAAACTGTAATAACAATGCTAGTTATAACCAAGTTTGTTCTTGTATGACTTGTCATGGATGCTCATGGTCTGCTATCTAATGCTTTGCTCTGACTTGATTGATCTATAATATGGAACTTCATTGTGTGCTCTAGCACTCAGCTTTAACCGACTGAGCCACCCAGGCGCCCCTCCAGCCCTCAGCTCTAATGGAGTCCTTTTTGGCTGCTTTTGAAGCTTTCAAGTTGAAATGTACTTGTGACGGTATTAGGTTTATGCGAAGCAGAGATTCTTCTGTTACCGTTTTTCTTTTGAAATTAATACTGATTTCTTATAATATCTTTATAAAATAGTTTGTAACCTTCAACAGTGAAATTTGACTGTGGTTGAGCTAGAATAGGATAACTTGCTTAAATTAGTCTCTTGGTTTCGGTTTGTATATTGATTAAGAGTCTGATTGGGTAACTCTTATCACAAACCTCCTAGTGTATAATTTGGTGCATCATTGAACAGAAGAGAATACATAGAAACTGTGAGATTGTGTGAAATCATATTCTGTTGGTAACTTCTTTGTTTCGTAGAGCTTCAAAGTGGAGTTTTGGTTTTCATTGTGAACATTTAACTAGACCTAAATATTTCACAGTTGGTTGTTTTTTGTTATTCTAAATAACAGGGCAGGGAACAATTCACTGTCTGAACCCGTAGATGCTGGAGAGCTAAATTCACAGAGGAAGAATAACTGACTGAAATTACAACTTTAAAGAATGGATGTACAGTAGACATTTTGGTGTTTGATCTTTCTGTATGAGGAGAAAGGCACTTAAGGCAGTGTTGTGTCTTATTTTAAAAAAACAGGAACAAGAAGGGCTTGCTTGGAAAAGTGCCTTTTTCTTCTGATCCTGTCCCTCCCCTCAACCTAACAATTACAAAGAATTAATCCCACTGCCTAGTGTGTTTTTATGAGGATATCTGTCTCCCAATTTTCTAAGGTGTTCAACTTTTATTAAGAGCAACAGTGCCTTTTGTTACAGGTTTTGGAATCCTGTCATTTATTCCAAACAGATCTGTATCCAGATAATGATGATGATGGCGATGATGAAGACAACTAATATTAATTCCGTGTGCCCCATATGCCAGGCCATGTGTGCTGAATACTTCTTTATGTGCATCATCTCACTTAATCCTCTGGGGAAACTGTGAAGTAAGAGTCATTATTATGGCAGTTTACCAGTGAGGAAACCAGGGCTTGGAAGGGTTAAGTAACTTACCCAAAGCAGAGCTGGGTTAGAGTAGATGGGTTTATTGTCCCTTGGATCTTGTTTTGTTTATGGCTACTATCTCTGGAAGCGAAAAGTAAAATCATTGTCTTGTCTTGGTGCAGACTGAACTTTTATCCTGCTCATCCTGTTGCTGAAGGCACCCATATAAGGACAGGGGAAAGTGCAGAATAGTTCAAGTTGCTCTTAGCAAGGCACATGAGTAGAAAAATAGCAAAACTCCGTGCCAGACTTGGCAGCCCCCTGTGTGTTTGTGACACTCTAACATGTACTACAACACATAGCATCATTTGCATTAGGATATTGTAGGCTGCTGTATGGCCTAGGAATCATCCTTGACTTCTCTTTTGCCCATATTTCATTCCATCTTCAAGTCCTGAAGGTTCTATCTCCAGAACCCAGCCCTGATTTATCCACCTGTGTCTACTCCTGCTGTTCTAGCTGTAGTGTAGAACTGGTCTTGCCTAGTTGCAGTGGCCTGGTATCTTCCAGCCTCCCACTGTCGCCCACCTCTAATATACTCACAGAGCGTAGAGTAGCTGAAGGGATCTTTTTCAAAGCCTAAAGAAGATCCTGTTGGCTTTCCTGCCTAAACTCCTTCAATAGCTTTTCGTTGCAACTTAGAGAAAATCTAGCTTCCTACCCTCTCTCCTTGTGTACTGTGCTTCAGAGGTACTGGGATTCTTCATGGTTTTCATGTTTACCAAGTTCGTTTCCATCTTGGGTCTTTGTACCTGCTGTTTCCTCTGCCTGGGCTACTCTGGTCACTGATCATCTTGTGGTTGACTGTATATCATTTAGGTCTCAGTGTCCCAGTGCAGCCTTCCTTGGTGAATCTGGATACCCTCGCACCAGTACTCTCATGTTACTGTGTTTTGTTTTCTTTATAGTCCTCATCACACTCTGTTATGTTAATTTATTGCTTAGTTATCTATTTCCACCCCCACTAGCATGTGAACTTGAGGGCAGGGCCTCCCTTGTGCCTAGAAGAGTGTGCCTGGCATGTATAGCACAATTAAAAATATATTGAATGAATGAAAATTTTCATCTCACTTCAGTATTACATTATGAATATTTCTCCACAGTCTTTTTTTTTAAAGATTATTTATTTGAGAGAGGGAGTGAGTGAGAGAGCATGAGCGGGAGCGGGGGTAGGTGGGGGATAAGTGAGGGGGTGGGGAGTGGCGGGGGAGGAGAGGGAGAAGCCGACTCCCCCACCGAGCAGGGAGCCTGATGATGCGATGCAGGTGCTGGACCTTTGGGATCATCTCCTGAGCCGAAGGCAGACGCTTAACCAGCTGAGCCACCCAGGTGTCCCTATTTCTCCACAGTCTTAAAATATTCAGAATAGGAGTTGTGAACTCTGATTCACAGTCCAGAGCTGGCCTAAAGACACATTTGATTTGGCTTCTTAAAAAATGTTGTTAGAAGGGTAACTTACACCCCGTCAAGTGCCCGGATCTTAAGTGTACAACTTGGTGGCTTGTGCAGCCTTTTCTCAGATCACGATGCAAAAGGCTCTCTCATATCCTCCTCCCAGCCACGCCCCCTTCCCACAGGATACCTTGCATAATCTTTTTAAGTAGCTTCTCACGTTTACGCATTTCGAGATTTCACATAAAAATCCAGAATTCCAACATCCCTTGAAAGATGGAAAGATAGCAACACACGACCTGCTTTCTCTTTTGGCCGCAGTTTATTGTAGCTGAGAAGCAGGTGTCCAAAGCGGTGGCATGTGTTCTCCAGTTTGCCTCTAGTCATCATTCCGCCTTCTATCCCTGACCTTGAAATCAATTCCCAGTTGTCATTTATAAGTTCATTTGAATTTTTTATGCTGGAGAAATACTCATTTCTTCCATTTTCTCTATAAAAAAGTGGAAACATGATGGGAGGCTGAAAATGTATGTGAAACAGTTACATGAAAGGTTCTTACACTTAGTCCCCTTCATTCATATGTATTTGTTAACCACCTTAATTCCATGTGGTTGTGTTTAAAGGTGTTCTGTTGTATAAATGTGTCATTTAACCAGTCTCCTGTGGAGCATATAAGCTATTTCCAGTTTTTTGATGTTATCAAGAACAATGTGTAGATGAATTTTTATACAAATCATTTTTTTCTTTTCCAAGTTTTTATTTAAATTCCAGTTAACATACAGTGCAATATTAATTTCAGGTGTAGAATTTAGTGATTCATCACAAGTGCTCTCTTTAATACCGATCATCCATTTAACCCATCCCCCCCCACCTTCCTCCAGCAACTCTCAGTTTGTTCTCTACAGTTAAGAGTCTGTTTGATGGTTTGCCTCTCTTTTTCCCCCCTATGTTCATCTGTTTGGTTCTTAAATTCCATGCAAAAATAGGGAATGCTTCACAAATTTGCAGGTCATCCTTGTACAGGGCCATGCTAATCTTCTCTGTGTTGTTCCAATTTTATTCTATGTGTTGCCAAAGCAAGCACAAATCATTATTTTATTAGGATAAAATGTTATAAGTGGTATTTCTGGGTCAAAATTTATTTCATTTGTAAGATGTGATACATATTGCCAAATTGCTGGTGGTAGTATGAATTTATGTGATCTTTCTGGAGAGCAGTGTATGGAAGTATGCTTTTTTCTACATCTGTGCCAACATTGGGAAGAGTAATTAAAATTTCTTTTTGCTAATATAGTTAGTAAAAACAAAAAATGAAAATGTTAGCTAAGAAGTTTTTCATCCTCTTATCTGTATAAATACTTCGTACTTTATTTTAGAGGATTTAATATAGAAATCTTTATTACTTAGTACAATGCTGTACCTTAGATTTATATTGTGAGTCAAATCATGTATCATGTACTTTGCAAATGAAATAAGGTGACTGCCTTGGTAGAACTTGTTAACCCTTTACTCCTGATCCTTAAACACATGCGTGTGCACGCACACACGCACAGGGTTATTGTTGAGCTCTACCATGTTCCGTATGGGAGTGTATGGAAATAAATAATGCAAAATCCTTCTTTTTACACATGGATTTTATATTTGCTTTTATATTTTTAGTTAAATGTTACTGTTTTACAATTTGCTTTTTTTAAGGAGATGCCTACATAGAAGAGTGACAGCAGCTGGACTAAATGTTTAGCCGCTGAATTGGTTCCTCAGGTAGCCCGGCCCTGGTGACTGCTATGGGAGAGTGGATGACTGTTACAGACCCAGATCTGTCTTCAGGTAACGGTCTAAAATAAGGGTAGACTAAAGCAGTAATTGTAAAGGGGAGTTTTTAAATGAAACTATAAATAATTACCACAAATATCGAAGATGTGACTAGAGAGAGACATAAATAGTTGTAAAATATCTAATTTTTATTTTCAGAAAGTTTATCTGGGAAAGCTAAGAATTGTGCCATAATTAGTGGGGTCCAGTGCCTTTGATAGATGATGGGTTTGATTGTTATTATTTTGGAGAGGAATGTTTATGCATTTGAAATAAATTTACTGGGTACATCAATACGTTGCTGCGATTTATTCCTTTAATCCATAACCTTTGACTCAGGTGGTTTTTGTCTGTTATTTTTATAAGTCTGAAATACTATAAGTTAAGGTAGTATATTGTAGCTTAACATGCCTACTAAGGGCACTTTATAGTTGTATCTTTTTGAAAAAAAGTACAGTTGACTCGAATAACATGGGTTTGAACTGTGTGGGTCCACTTATACACGGATTTTTTTCGATAAATGTAGTACAGTCCTGTAAATGTATTTTCTCTTATGATTTTCTCCCTAGCTTGCTTTATTGTAAGAATATACTAATGTGATACATATAACATACAGAATATGTGTTTATCAACTGTTTGTTACTGGTAAGGCTTCTGGTCATCAGTAGGCTATTAGTAGTTAAGTTTTGTGGAAGTCAGAAGGGATACGCAAGGGGGCGCCTGGGTGGCTCAGTCGGTTAAGGGGCTGCCTTGGGCTCAGGTCATGATCTCAGGGTCCTGGGATGGAGCCCTGCATAGGGCTCCTTGCTCAACGGGGAGCCTGCTTCTCCCTCTTGCTCTGCCCCTCCCCCTGCTTGTGCACGCGCTTTCTCTCTCTGTCAAATAAATCTTAAAAAAAAAAAGCGATACACAGATTTTCCAATGCATGAGGAGTCGGTGCCCCTAACCCCTGTGTTGTTCAAGGGTCAACTTTATGTAGTTTTCATGCAAGAAACAGCTTTGTCTTAATTTGAAAATACTTAAAAATATTTATATAATTCAAGATCTTTGGTAATGGAGATAGTTTGCTTTGCATATGTTTTATAAATTGTATGAGTAAATGCCTTTTATTCTTTCAGAAAGCAAAAATATCTGTCAATATACCTCAGAAACAAAGATGTCTCCATCAAGTTTATACTCACAGCAAGTGCTATGTTCTTCAATACCTTTATCAAAAAATGTGCACAGTTTTTTCAGTGCCTTCTGCACAGAAGAGAATATTGAACAAAGTATTTCATACCTTGATCAGGTAAAAAAATTTTTTTGTGTGAGAAGCAGTAGCATAAATCATGTTATATAATAGCACATATCAAAGTTACGAGAAAAATACTTGTCAAGCACACATATGTTGTTATGTATTGGCCTGTTATGTAACATAACTAGATAGGCAAAGAACCGTGGTGATTATTTAGTCTGGATACATGGTAAATGTGTTTGTCAGGAGCAGGTTGGCCTCCACATCACTCTAGGGACTTCTCCACCAGGAGTCTCTCCCTTATTTTACTGATGTACTAAGTGCCTGGCCCCAGGACACAGGCACTTGTAGAGCAGAGGCTAAAAAGAGCCCAGTTCTCTCAGTTCTTTGTCCTTTGGGATATTTACAATTTTCTTAACTCAGGATAGTGTTCATTATTTCTGAGAAAAGATTTCTATCTTTTGTTTCTATACTAAGTCATCTGGTAACCAACTTTGAGGAAAACATTTTCTCCTACCAGGAATTGACTACTTTCGGTTTTCCTTCATTGTATGAAGAATCCAAAGGTAAAGACACAAAGAGAGAATTAAATATAGTTGCTGTTTTAAATTGTATGAATGAGCTACTTGTACTTCAGCGGAAGAATCTTCTAGCTCAGGAAAATGTAGAAACACAGAATCTGAAACTGGGAAGTGATATGGACCATCTACAGAACTGCTATGCAAAACTTAAGGTAGAAATTGCATGTCGACCTGTATTTCAGTAAGCTAACTGTCTCATAAGCTAAGCCAAGTGATAACAGTGTTTTCTCTTTAATATTTTTAGGTTTTTATACATCCTACAATGCCTAAAGGATAGAGGTTATTCCTGAGGGGGTAACTGTGGTGGGCTGGAGGGGTAGTTGCCTCCAAGTTATAAAAAGGCTGTGAGTTGTGGATGATACTTTAATCTTAATCAGAGAGACCTATGGAGGGTCTTATGAGTTAGACTGATTCAGAGTTGTAAGCCCCTGAAGGCCGCAGTTCTGCATTAAAACTTTTTGTATGTGGGTAACCTTGGTTGAATGATATTGGTAATCCAGGCCTGTTTAGCCTTTCCTTCCAAAGTGTGGTTGCTTATTAGGACAGCCCAGAGTGTAGAATGTTTTCCAGGAAATCTTCTAATTCAGGTTTGACCTAGGCCAAAATCCGGTATTTTTCTCTGGACAGAAATGTGTGTTCAGTGGCAAAAGTTGCCGATCTGTCCTTGAAGAGCTTCTAGATCTAGTATATGATTCATTCAATTCATTGAGCAAAATTTATTAAGTATTTTTGTGCCAGGTGCACTGGGTTTCACGGAGGACTGAACCCCAGTCCCGGCTCTCAAGATTGTAGTCTAGTGGAAGGAGATACATTGAACCATAATTACTTGCTTCGTTAGTTGTTCTTGGTGTGGGAGGTAAGAGGAGGCTTCACAGAGAGTTAACACTTGATCTCAGATCTGAGGAGTAAATAGAAATTTGCTAATGTTTGGAAAAGACATTCTAGGCAGAGGGTATATAACCTGTTTAAAGCATAGAGATATGAGAGAGCATTTGACTTCCAGAAAATAGTCAGTCGCTCTGTAGGGGCTGAAATGAATGATGATGATGAAGAGCGATAGAGGTGAGGCTGGGCCCCAGGGGTCCGAGGATGTGAGAGGCATTGTGCAGACACACAAAGGCACCAAGGAATGTAAGCGAGAGGAAGGCATCATGGGCGTCATGTAAACATCAACCTGGCAGTAGGGTGGAGAAACTATGGGGAAGGTACAGATTTGTATTTGGGACGGAGGCGGGGAGCCCAGAAGGCTTGGTAGAAAGGACAGCTGTTAGGAGGCCTTAGCAGCTGCCAAAGCCAGAGAGATTTTGGATTTGAACTAAGGTCGTGCTAGTGGAGATAGAAAAAGTGAAATAGGAAGCAAACTTGGGAGGTAAAATGGGTAGAATTTTATGAAAAATTGAATTTGGGGAATAAGAGAGTCATGAATTTAAGAGACCGACCTGGTCTCGGTCTCAAGTTTACAGGGGATGATGGTATGAGATGAGTGATGTAGGAGGGGGGTGTATAGATTTGCAGGGCTGATGGGGAGTTCAAGTAAAGTGTTGATCATCACTCAAAGTGAATCTGATTTGACATATATGGGACATAGCAACTGGTCCAGTGCCTTTAAGTTCAGTCATTCCAAATGGTCTGGCATGATAGGAAGTCACAAACACTCCGAAGAAGAGGGTGCCAAAAATTCTGACACCTTTAGAGTTATCCGAGGTATATTCCTAAATTTTCTAAATTCCTAAATCTTCTTAAGGTCCATTGTTACAGGGATTGTCCAAGTTGTTATTTGTGGTCAGTTATGGTGTAACTTGAGTGGTTTTTATATTTTATAAAGATAAGAGGATTTTAAAAATATGCCAATGGCCTCATGCAGAACTTGGCACATTTCCTCAGAAAATGTGTGGAATGTATTCAAAATGAACATCGTATCTCATACTGATTCCAGCAATGCTGCTATTCCTCTCTGGGAAAAAATCTTCAGAGCTCAGCACTTGGAAGGGAGAACGAGGGTCGTGCTGGAGTCCCACCCTTTCTGACCTAAAGGGTTGCTGCTCTGCTTGGTCACACATCTGCTTTAGACTTAGCTCCGTATCACTTTGGTTCTTTCTCAAAGAGAGTACCATAGAAGTGTTAAAAACTCCTAAAAGGAAATTTAAAAAGTGTCCAGTGGAAGCATCACTGGAATAAGTGAAGAGCCTTTCTAGGGCTCCACTTTGAAACCCATTTGCGTAAACATAAAAATGTTGGTATTTTAATAAATTAAAATGTTATATTTAAACTTAAATAAATTTATAAGTTTATAGTATTGTCTTATAATAATTGTTTTAAGTAAACATTTTGTGTGCCATTAAACTGCAGTTTTAGCTAAGAAACCCTAGTATGTGTATGTTGTTTTTACTAATCTTTGAAGAATTCATTTGCTCCGAGTCCTGTGTTAATTTTAATCACAGTTGCATGTGGATGTTC